CCCTAGGGGAAGGCCGCCTCTTCTCTCGCTGCCAAATTTTCCTTGATTGCTAAATAAGAGTTATAAAAAGAATTTCTTTTAGAATAAAATAAGTATTATATTAATTCTAACTTTCAAATAATTATAAATCATTGACATATTGATAGAGTGTTGAAGTTATTCTCTTTGAGGTGAGGATGCCGGTAGATAAGAGTTAAATATATATAAAGAATCGATTACCAAAAGAGTATAGGAAGGGTTTACAAGATTTATAGACTACGCAAAAGACTTCATGAATGAAGAAGGAAATATAAGTTGTCCTTGTAAACGTTGTGTGAATGGAAAAATGTTTCCATTGAAAAACGTTAAGCGACACATCTATGAATCTGGGTTTGATGTGACATATGCATACTGGGTTTTTCATGGTGAGCAACCTCAAATACCACCATTTTTGAATTCAATTCAAATGTAGAATATGAGGCAGATGATGAAATGGTTGCATTATTGAATGACATTACAGGGGAAACTCGCGACCATGATATTAAAGGTGAGACCACATATAATAAGGGTGATGAAGTGCATACTGAATTTGAGGATCTATTATTTGAGATTAACGCGGAGTTGTATCCAGGGTGCATTAAGGTTTCTTCGCTATTTTTTTAGTAAAACTTATGCACTTGAAAATACTTTATAAGTGGCCAAATGAGTGCATGGATTCGGTGCTAAAGTTGCTAAAGATGTATTTCCTAAAGGTAATAAGTTACCAAATTCTCATTATGAGTCAAAGAAAAGTTGAGCGAATTGGGACTAGGCTACGAAAAGAATCATGTGTGTAGGTATGATTGTGCTTTGTTATGGAAGAGTAATGCTGATTGGCAAACATCTCTAATTTGCAACATGAGTTGTGGAAAAATGAAGGGGAGAGGGGGGGTTCTGTGGAAAGTTCTCCGTTATTTTCCACTGAAGGATAGATTGACACGATTATTTGATGAGAACTACCCCAACTTTGCTAGTGAACCACGAAATGTGCGGTTGAGGTTGTCTGCAGATGGAATCAATCTATTTGGAAACATGAGTTTATCATATAGTATGTGGCCGGTTGTAGTTGTATACAATCTAACTCCATGGTTGTGTACCAGGACCATCCTCTCCTCGAAAGGATATTGATGTGTTCTTGAGGCCTCTCATGGATGAATTAATGGAGTTGTGGTCAGAAGGGATGGTTGTACATGATGGAGCTACAAACAAGCGATTTCAAATGACGGTTGCTCTACTAATGACTATTAGTGACTTTCCAACTCGCAATAGTCTATCCGGTTAGAGTGGTCAAGGTTATTATGGTAGTTCTTCATGCAATGTTGATACCCCTTCCATGCGTATCACAAATATAACATGTTATGTTGGACATCAATCATGGCTACCGACTGACCACATATTGAGGAAGAATAAAAAATTTAATGGCTAGGTAGATAAAAGCACTCCTCCGAAACAGAAATCCATGCGAGAAATATTAGACCAATTACGAAATGTCAATCCTCATGTATCTGGTAAGCATCCATATTTTGGTTGGAAGAAGCGTAAACAAAAAATGAAAGTCGCGTGAGTTAAATGGGACCAAGAAAGATGTCTTCTGGGAATTTCCTTATTGGTCTTTTTTGTCATTGCGTCACAATTTAGATTTGATGCATATAGAGAAAAATGTATGCGAAAGCTTACTTGATACGGTCTTGGACATTGGTCGAAAAAGTAAGGACACAAACAAAGCAAGAATTGATTTGGCCACTTGGGGAGTTCGAGAAGAGCTACATTTGTATAAGAATGGTGAGCAGTTAATGAAACCACATGCAGCGTACACGTTGAGTCCCGATGATTGGACAAAGTTCTGTGAATTCTTAAAACATGTATGATTTTCAGACGGTTTTGCTTCCAATTTGGGGAAGAATATGTCAGGAGGGACTATCAAGATTTCAGGTCTTAAGTCACATGATTGTCATGTTATTATGAAACGATTATTGCCTTAAGAAAGAGATAGTTGATGCTATCACCGAGCTATGCAATTTCTTTCAGTTGATATGTTCAAGGAAAGTGAGAGTAAGTGGTTTGAAACAAGCTAAGAAAGACATTGTTGTTATATTGTGCAAACTGGAGATGATCTTTCCTTCGGCTTTCTTTGATATCATGGTTCATGTCACCATGTTTTACACAGGGAAATTCTGGACTTAGAATTTTCGCTCGTGTACGACCTATCTTAACCCTTAAGATAGTCAACCTAACTCACAAACCCGTTTTACTTAGGTTTAGGGACACTTAGAACACTTAGAGAATATTCAAAGCACACAAACACTTTACGGTCAACGACCAACCTTGTATTAATCTCACAAAATAATACAAAGGACTCTACAAGCAATGCCACACACTCTTGCCTACAAAACTCGTGCTTATGCCTTGGCATATTTATAGACGAGCCACGTCTGGCAGTTACAACCCAACTGCCTAGCCTGAAGGGACGCGTCTCTTCGCGTGTGGCAATTACCAACCGCCCTATGTCGCGGCCTTCCGGTCTGCCCAAGCACTTGTTCGCCCGAAGCCCTTAACTGCCTTGCCACCGGTTCGCCCCAAGGCACTTGTTCGCGTGTAACCGCCCTTCCCTTCCAGACTTGAGTCATGCCGACATGCCTCTTCGAGCTTGCACTCATGCCGCGGCCTAATCCAGGCCACCCACGAGCAAACTCTTTGCCTTGAGCTTGTGACCAACTCTCGTTGCCTTGCGCCCAGCTTGCCCAAGTTCCATTTGTCAACCGGCCAACCAACCCTCCTTGCCACCGAAGCTCCCAAATGTCGTGACTGCCCAAGGACAGCCACGCCTCGGGCTCAAGCCTGGCCACGCACCACGCACTACCCTTGATTCGCCCACGTGCCACCTTGAGCCACTTGCTTTTGTTGTGCCTCCAAGCTGTTGTTCCGCATCCCGTAAGTCATGCCCCACATGCCACTGATCTTCCCCAACACTTGGATCACATGCCGGACCCGCACACCCATAGTCTCCCTTGACCATGTCATGCCGCCCATGAACCGAACATGGTTTCTCGCAACGCCAACCGTTCTGCCCACATACTTGGTCTAGCTTGCCTTGTCTTGACTAAGTCCCCATGCCTTAGCCAAACTTCCACCTTGCCCGTTCCTCGCAATGTTGCAATGCCGCGGCATCCCTATGCCTTGGCCATTGCCACGATGACTTTGGCCGCATCCCATGCCCCGAAAGCCACCCTATCGAGCCCAAACCATGTCTCGATAAAGACCCGCCAAAAAGGGGTCTAACACCATGCACTTTCCAAAAGAAGCTATTCGAGGAGGGCCAATTTATTTAAGATGGATGTATGCAATTCAACGATTTCTTGGCTCCTTGATCACATGTATTTGTGAATGATGTCTAATGACATATGAGTGTATGATGTAGCTTTTACCGTGATGCATTTTTTTGGTAGATTACTTTGCAAATTTTTTACAAATATCTTGGCAATTTCTTTGGCAGCTTTTGACAATAATTTTTTTTTTTGCAATTTTCTTGGTAGTTTTTATGGTATATTGTATTTTTTTGGGTGTAGTTTTTAGGTATGGTGCAGATTTTTTGCACATATCTTTGCAATTTTTTTATTGTTATGGTACAGTTTTTTGTTCGGGGTGTCCCTAGTTAAGACCTCAATTTATGTATAGTTTACCTGTTGTATAAAGTTTTTTTTGAATCCGGTAGGTAAATCACCTAAGTTGGTGGGGTAAATGTCGGAGAACATTTACCGAGTTTTATTAATTAAAATACTTAAAAATAGAATACAGATAGAGGGGGAGCTAGACCAAAACCTCTCCAGAGGAGGCATAGCTCCTCAAAATAATGCAAATTAATAACAATTAAAACACAAGATATCATTGGGGGGCTAGACCTGACCCAATGAAGTACATCAGTAAGTAAATCTAAAAGATGGAATGCCAAATAAATCAGAGTAATATGCCTTTCGGGCATGATCCAACAAGTCAGATATCTGAGTAATAGTTTGATGTTGGGCCGTAGCTTGGTCCGATAAAAAATGAGCGACCCAATTACCCTCTCTCAGTCCATGAACAAAACATACACTTTTCCTTTTTACTCGCAGTATCCTTCCCTGAAAAACCTGTTGTATATAGTTTAATAGGTATATCGCTTAATCGTCTATCACTTAATAGGCTTCATTTTTTTTATTAAACGTTGATATTTAGAATTTACTGCTAGAATATTTATATTTGTGGTAGTGATTCTGATCGACCAAATCTTGTAAAAAAATCAAGATAGTAATTTAATGTTAATGTTAGTTATTTACCATTCATGCTATTTTTATCATTGACAATTATAATGAATATTAAACACGTTGATCCAGTAACTGGTGAGCAGTACTCAACTTTTGAAAATGGGAAAGATCAACGTTTGACTCGTAGTGATAAATGGAGAACTAAAGAAGCACAAATAATACGTAAGTATATAAAAAAGATGTCGTTAATTGTAATCTTAATGATATGTAATTGTATGAGTTGTAATTTGATAGACTCAAAAGAGCGAGGAGTATCATACATGTTTAGGACTAATTGGGTCATCATCTTCAATAAATGAAATCGATATTATGGACCGGAACTTGAAAAGGCATCGTGGATGCCAAAATGGAGTGGGTTGATAGACAATTTAATAGTCCTCGCAAGTGCACGAGTCACAGTAGTATAGTGCACAAGTAAGGGTCGAATCCACGGGAAAAATGTAACCAAGTAATTGGAAAACTATTAATAAAAAATGGAAGTGAAATAAACTTAACTAAAAAAAAATGAGTTTTTGAATTTGTTTGATTTAAAACTGAAAAGTAAGGCTTGAGTTAAATTATATGGATGCAAGGAATTTGAAAGATTAAAACAACTAAAAATTGAATAGCAGAAAATGATCGAGAATTCAGCAAGGGAAAAGATAGTCCGGGATCATGAATAAGTCACTAATCTTTAGTATTTGCGATTTAGTTAGTCAATTAAAATTGAGGGTTCGTTCTAGACGAAAATATGACTTTTCCGTATGGCGTCCAGAATAAGTCACGTACCTTAACTATTAATCAATAAAAAAAATTATTAATTTAATAGTTAAAATCCATTAAACACAAAAGAACTACGGAAACCCGATTTAAGAACCAAATAGATAATCTAACAAGACAGTAAAATTATCTATTCTTTTATCCAAAAGAGCTCGAACTAATAGGCATGGCATGTACTCTATTAGTCCACTCAAACAACTTAATTAATTATATTAAAGTTGGCCAAAAATTAACACAATCAATTAGGTGAATAAGAACAATGGATAAAACTCAACCAATTGACATAACTAAAATCACAATTCATACTAAATCATAGCAACTTCATCATAATCCGGACTTAAGGAATTTAGCTACTCATATCAAAACTGGCTGAGAGTAAAACAACAATAATAAAAGAGTTCATCTTGAACATTTAACAATCAACAAAATAACGAGTACTGACAATTCCCAAATAACTAAACCAAAGCAAGTTTGTTATCAAGAAAAGTAACGTACAAATCAAGATCAAAAGAGAATATTGCTGAATCAAACCAGAATTTTTCAAGCACTAACTAATTCCTTCCTCCAGAAAGTTGCAGCCTGAAGTTCAATGGGTCATCTCCCAGGTTGCAGCCCTTCCTCCTCGCAATCCTCCCCTTAAAACCCTTGCTATTGCGGTTTTTATATCCCCGAATTACAGTCAGTTCCAACCCTTAACTCCTGATTTTTCGGTGCCGTTCGAGAGTAGGAACCGCAATTCGTGGAGCCGTTTCGAATTGATGATTCAAAGAACCCCCAAATCTACCTCCTTTCCTTCTGCTCCTTGGACTCTTTTTCTTCATTTTTGTTAGAGCCGTTCTTGGACTTTGCTGGGCTGTTTTCTCTTTTTCCAATTTTCCTTATCAGTCAAAATAAAAGAGTTACTCTCCTTTAATTTTGTTCTCGAGCCTAGTTTACTCTCACAGAAATTATGTGAAGTCTTCCAAATTTGAACTGGCCCATTCTTGAATTTGGAAATAACATCTCTTCAATGAGCCCCAATGAGCCCAATTGCTTCATTTAAATTTCTCACCTGTAAAAATCAATTTTAAGATAAAAGTAAGATTAAAACCTCTCAATTAGGCAAATAATAAGTATAGAATTGTGATAAAAATTAATCACAAATTCTAACTTATCAAACTCACCCACACTTGCATTTTGCTTGTCCTCAAGGAAAATTAAGATCAAGAAACCAAATTCAACAACAAGTGTTCAAACTCCCCTTTCACTCACCAGGCATACTAACATTCCCCTCCATGACAAAACATCCCCAAAAAATTTGAATCAAGTATCCACCACAATGCCAACTCCAAAGTCAAAATCTAGACTCATATGTCATTAATAGAGATGTATTTTACAATTCTAAACGACCTAGTGAGACACTCAAGTAACTCTCACAGAAATTATGTGAAGTCCTAAGCCAATTAGTCAACACTCTATAGTCATCTTATGCTCTTCCCTCCACCTTATCAAAGCACAAACTTGATCAAGATCACTTAGGACTTTTATTCGGGTTGTAATGTGGTCATGGGTAATGGGTTAATGAGAGAAAGGAAATGGGAATTCAAACAAAGGAGGAGACATTTTCTATACCAAATTGATCCTAGGAAGAGTTCAATAAATGACAAAGGGAGCAACTAAACTACTACAAAAATCAAACCGGCTTCTTAGATAAAGGGATACAAATAGGAAGCTCAAAGAATACAACTTCAACTCACTTCTTTCTTCTTTACTTTTTCACTTTTCAACTTTTCAGTTTTTTTTTTTTTTTTGACTTTTTTCTTCTTCTTTTTTTTTTTTTTTTTTTTTGGACTTTTCAAACCTTCAATCCACTCACTGCTCACAAGAATCAGCACCAACAACATTGAATCTATACAAACTGCCGGGGATAACAAAGAAAAATGCTCCAAAAAGATAAACTCTTTTAAGTCACAATTTAAGTATAAGAAAATGTCAACTCAAGGGTGTGGGATACATTTTGGCTATTTGGGCTCGGGTCATCATTGATGGGTAATTAGAAAGAATTACTAGTCAAAAGCACGTTAGAATGCTTTAAGACATATTAGGCTCAAAGGGGTAGCAAGCGGAAATACAAATAAACAAAAGGGTAGGCTTAAAGGTTTGGGGCTATGAAAAATGGCCTAGATCATATCTGAATCAGTTTGCACAATAACTTAGCTTCCAAAAGAGCAACAAGACAAGTTCTATTATGCTAACTAAAAGACAAAGGATTCACACTTTCTAAGAACGTTAGAGATGCATCCTAAGAGGTCATAAAGAATTGAAAAATACATCAAGATTAATGACACGATGTAAAACAATGTGAAGGACTCAATCAAATTCAAGAGGAACCTAGCATGGAACCAACCAATCAGACCACATACCACTGAAAGGGAACTTTTCACAACTTGAAGCCAAAAAAGTTATCCTGAAATTAAATTCTCCTCAACTCCAAGCAAGGAAAACATTTTTTTTAAAAGCAGTTTTCTGTTTTTTTTTTTTTGGTGATTCTGAAACTAAAATAGAACTAAAAAGTGACCGTTACTCCTCCCCCACACCTATCTCAAACATTGTCCTCAATGGAGAAATAATAAAAAGACAAAGGAAAAGAAATACTCCCTGAAAGCGCTTCAAACTAAAACTTTAACAACTTGAGAAGTAACCTGCAAAACTAAGAAACAAAGAAAGAAAAGAAAAGAATGGGGAAGGGGGAAACAGAATAAAAGTTTTTTTTTTTTAGAAACTGTGACTAGACACAACATGAGCAACGGTATTCCCGAAGCTCAAGACACTCAACTTGCTCGACTACATCTTCACTTTTCAAATATCGCTTCACTCGTTGACCGTTCACCTTAAAAACATTCCCAGATTTCGGATTTTCAAGTTCAATTGCACCATGGGAAAAAACTTGGCGAATCAAAAACGGTCCAGTCCACCTAGATTTTAACTTCCCTGGAAAAAGCCTCAAACGAGAGTCATATAACAACACCTCCATTCCAGGTTTAAAATCTCTCCTCAAAATGGATTTATCATGAAAAAGTTTAGTGCGTTCTTTATAAATTTTCGCACTCTCGTATGCATCATTCCTAATCTCATCCAGCTCATTCAAATGCAATTTTCTCAAGTTACCTGCTTCTTTAAGATCAAAATTTAGCGCCTTGATAGCCCAGTAGGCTCGGTGTTCCAACTCTACAGGCAAATGACAAGGTTTACCAAAAACTAACCTGTACGGGCTCATTCCAATTGGGGTTTTGTAGGCTGTCCGGTAAGCCCACAATGCATCGTTCAGCCTATTAGCCCAATCCTTACGTGAAGGATTCACGGTTTTTTCCAGAATACCTTTAATCTGTCTGTTACTCACCTCAACTTGCCCCGATGTCAGTGGATGGTAAGGTGTTGCAACCCGGTGCGTAACACCATACTTTTTCAGCAATCCTGCAAAAAACTTGTTACAAAAGTGGCTGCCACCATCACTAATGATAGCCCTTGGTGCCCCAAACCTAGCAAAAATTACCTCCTTCAAAAAATTCAGCACCACTCGACTATCATTAGTTCTAGTGGCAATAGCTTCAATCCATTTAGACACGTAATCAACTGCAACCAGAATATAATTAAACCCAAAAGAAGTATGAAATGGGCCCATAAAATCAATACCCCAAACGTCAAACAAGTCAACAACCAAATTATTCGTAAGAGGCATCTCATGACGTTTGCTAATATTCCCTACTCTCTGACAACGATCACATTTAGCACAGAAAGAAATTGCATCTTTAAAGAGAGTAGGCCAATAAAAACCAGATTGCAAGACTTTAAATGCAGTTTTTTCCCACTAAAATGCCCACCACAATTCAAAGTATGACTATGATGCAAAACACTTTCTTGTTCGTGTTCAGGAATGCAACGCCTAATGGTCTGATCATGGCAGATTTTAAACAAGTAAGGTTCATCCCAGAAATAATATTTCACTTTGGAGAGAAAATGTTTTCTACCCTGTGAATTTAAATCGGGATGAAACTTACCGGTAACTAAATAATTAACAAGATCAGCATACCATGGCTCTTTACTCATCACAGAAAACAAACCTTCATCGGGAAACCTGTCATTAAGAGGTATCTCCAGATCCTTCCCAGAATGTATAATCTGATCGGGGAGGCGTGATAAATGATCAGCCACCACGTTCTCGCTTCCTTTCTTGTCCCTGATAGACAAATCAAACTCTTGCAACAATAAAATCCACCTAATCAACCTAGGTTTAGCATCCTTTTTCAGTAACAAATATTTCAAAGCAGCATGGTCAGAATAAACAATCACCTTAGATCCAATCAAATAAGACCTGAACTTTTCTAATGCAAAGACAACTGCTAACAATTCTTTTTCAGTTGTAGAGTAGTTAATCTGTGCATCATCTAAAGTTCGACTGGCATAATAAATGACATAAGGCAGCTTGTCAATTCTTTGACCCAAAACAGCACCGATTGCAAAATCGGAGGCATCACACATAATCTCAAACGGATAAGACCAGTTCGGGGCAGCAAGTATTGGGGCAGAAGTTAATTTTTCTTTCAGCACATTAAAAGCAACAAGACATTCATCATCAAAACTGAAATTCGCATCCTTAGCTAACAGATTACATAGAGGTTTACAAATCTTAGAAAAATCTTTAATAAACCTTCTATAAAAACCTGCATGACCCAAGAAACTACGCACCCCTCTAACGGAAGTAGGGGGTGGCAGTTTAGCGATCACATCAATTTTAGCCCTATCTACTTCAATCCCCCGATTAGAAATCACATGCCCCAAAACGATCCCTTCTTTAACCATAAAATTACACTTCTCCCAACTAAGAGTCAAATTCATTTGAACACATCTTTCAAGAACTAGCGACAGATTATGCAAACACTGATCAAAAGAGTCGCCAAACAAGGAAAAATCATCCATAAAAACCTCAACAAACTTTTCAATCATATCAGAAAAAATAGACATCATACACCGCTGAAAAGTACCAGGAGCATTACACAATCCAAAAGACATTCTACGAAAAGCAAAAGTGCCAAATGGACATGTAAAAGTAGTTTTTTCCTGGTCCTCGGGAGCAACCGGAATCTGATTGTAACCTTGAAAACCGTCAAGAAAGCAATAGAACGCATGACCAGCCAAGCGCTCTAACATTTGGTCAATAAAAGGCAAAGGGAAATGGTCTTTTTTAGTGGCAGCATTTAATTTTCTATAATCAACACACATTCGCCACCCTGTGGTAACCCGTGTGGGTACCAACTCATTTTTCTCATTACTCACAACAGTAATCCCAGACTTTTTAGGCACAACTTGCACAGGACTAACCCATTTACTGTCAGAAATAGGAAAGATAATACCTGCATCGAGCAACTTTAGAACTTCCACACGCACTACCTCTTTCATGTTCGGATTCATCCTCCGTTGAGGTTGCCTACATCGAGTAACACCTTCTTCCAACAAGATTTTATGCATACAAACCGTTGGGCTAATTCCTTTCAAATCAGAAATCGCCCAACCAAACGCAGCTTTAAACTTCCTCAGCACCTTAAGCAACTGCTCTTCTTGTTCCTGTGTCAGGTCAGAAGCAATAATAACAGGCAAAGTACTATCACACCCTAAAAACACATATTTCAGATTCGAGGGGAGGGGTTTCAGTTGCACTTGAGGTGGGTTTTCAACATGCTGATTTTTTTCCAGAACACAATCAGCTACTATTTCCTCACTTTGCACCTCAGTTTTGTCCAGAATATCCCTCATCTCGCTCACTTTTTCATCATCAAACTCTTGCACATCAAGAGTTAAAGCAAACTCAAGCTCATCCTCCTGTAACACACTCAAAGGAACAATAGAATCAAGCATATCAAGTGCAAAACATGAATCAGAATCAGCCGGCATATTCATGGATTTCAAAATGGAAAATTCAACAGTTTCATCAAGCACACTCATAGTTAATTTTCCATTTTGAACATCAATCATAGTTTTAGCCGTTGCCATAAAAGGTCTACCAAGTAAGATTGGCATATCTTTCACATGTTTGCACTGATCACTCATATCTAAAACCACAAAATCAGCGGGAATAATAAGCTTATCAACTTGAACTAAAACGTCCTCTACAATGCCCCTAGGGTATCTTATAGAGCGGTCAGCAAGCTGCAGGGACATTGTAGTGGTTTTTAGCTCATTCAAACCTAATTTCAAATAAACAGAATAAGGCATTAAATTAATACTCGCCCCCAAATCAAGCATAGCTTTTTCAGTTCTAGAATTCCCTAAATTAATGGTGATAATAAAGCTGCCAGGGTCTTCTAATTTTGGGGGCAAGTCCTTTTGTAAAACAGCACTCACAGCCTTAGAAACAAAAATCTTTTCATTCGGCTCATACCTACGCCTTCTAGTGTTTAATTCTTTCAAAAATTTAGTGTAGGCAGGCATATTAGTTATCATTTCAAGAAGAGGCAGATTAACATTAACTTTGGACAGCAAATCATAAATCTCATCAAAAGATTTGTCAAACTTGGAACTTTTTAACCTGTTTGGAAAAGGAACCGGCGGCACATATGGTTTAGGCGGAATATACGGATCTTTTGCTTTGTGCAGCCCGGACTCTTCGTACACCGAATCAGCCTCCACTTCTTTCTTCTTTTCAGCTTCTACTTCTTGCTTCTTCTCAGCCTCTACCTTCTCCGGTAGCTTGGGAACAGGCTGCTCTTCGTTTTTCTGAATTACCTTCCCACTTCTAAGAACCGTGACAGCTTTGGCCTCTTCAGATTGACTCGGTAGCTTTCCTTGCACGTGTCCTTGGAGAGATTCTGCAATCTGCCCAACTTGTACTTCTAGCTTCCTCAAAGAGGCATCAGTGCGCTGAAAACGCTGCTCGTTAACTCGCTGGTTGTTGCTGCAGATTTGCATAAAATTCTGCAAAGTATCCTCCAAAGAAGGCTTCTTGGGTTCAACAGTTGGCTGGTTCCCTTGTTGCGCGTTAGACCATGAGAAGTTCGGATGATTCCTCCAACCGGGGTTGTAGGAATTGGAGAATGGATCGTTCCTTGACCTCTGATTGTATGAATTCATCATATTAGCTTGTTCAAGACTAGCCTCGGGCATTTCATTCACTGCAGCGGCAGATTGATTCATCGCCATCATGGAACACATATTCTTCATTTGCTTGGATAGCTCGGATATTTGGATGGCCAGTTCTGTACTCGCACCAACTTCGTACATCCCTTGAGTCTTCCCACGAACGCTCTTCTGCTGGGAATTAGCTCCAAGCATCTCATATAACGCTAGGGTCTGTTCAGCAGTCTTCTCCCCCATTGCTCCTCCAGCTGCGTTGTCAACGATTGCTTGGCTTCCTTGGGTCAAACCGTCATAGAATGTTTGATTTTGGAGCGCCAGGGAATAACCGTGGTGAGGGCACTGTGTGAGCAGCATCTTGAATCTCTCCCACGCCTCATGGAATGGCTCACCTTCAGCCTGCGTGAAATTGGCTATTTTTCTTCTTAATTCTGAAGTTTTGGACTGAGAATAGTACTTGCCGATGAACTTGTTGTATACATCAGCCCACGTGCGCAACGATCCTGGTGTTAAAGACATAAACCATGTCTTTGCAGCATCTTTAAGAGTGTATGGAAAACACCTCATCCTCAGCTCATCTTCTGTCACGCCTTGCAATGGAAAATTCTGAACAATGCCATAGAAGTCTCGAATAAAAATCAACGCATCCTCAGAAGAAAGCCCATAGAAAGATGGCAACTGATTAAAGTGAACGGTCTTCAAATCATAATTGCGGGCAGCTTCACTCAATACAATGCAGGACGGGGAGGCACCTACAGTTGGTCTCCCAAACTCTTTCATCAATTGTGCATCACCCATTTTTGGATTAGCAGCAAATTGGAGCCTCCTTTTTATCCTTTTGCCAATTAAATCTACTTGATCGTTCAGCGGAATCAAATCTGGATTAAGTGACTTGCGACCAAGCATACAACAAAAACAAAACAAAAAAACAAAAAAAAACAAGCACAACTAACTAAAATAAAACTAAATTAAATTTTTTCCAAAAACTAGTTAAACAAATTCCCCGGCAACGGCGCCAAAAATTGATAGACAATTTAATAGTCCTCGCAAGTGCACGAGTCACAGTAGTATAGTGCACAAGTAAGGGTCGAATCCACGGGAAAAATGTAACCAAGTAATTGGAAAACTATTAATAAAAAATGGAAGTGAAATAAACTTAACTAAAAAAAATGAGTTTTTGAATTTGTTTGATTTAAAACTGAAAAGTAAGGCTTGAGTTAAATTATATGGATGCAAGGAATTTGAAAGATTAAAACAACTAAAAATTGAATAGCAGAAAATGATCGAGAATTCAGCAAGGGAAAAGATAGTCCGGGATTATGAATAAGTCACTAATCTTTAGTATTTGCGATTTAGTTAGTCAATTAAAATTGAGGGTTCGTTCTAGACGAAAATATGACTTTTCCGTATGGCGTCCAGAATAAGTCACGTACCTTAACTATTAATCAATAAAAAAAATTATTAATTTAATAGTTAAAATCCATTAAACACAAAAGAACTACGGAAACCCGATTTAAGAACCAAATAGATAATCTAACAAGACAGTAAAATTATCTATTCTTTTATCCAAAAGAGCTCGAACTAATAGGCATGGCATGTACTCTATTAGTCCACTCAAACAACTTAATTAATTATATTAAAGTTGGCCAAAAATTAACACAATCAATTAGGTGAATAAGAACAATGGATAAAACTCAACCAATTGACATAACTAAAATCACAATTCATACTAAATCATAGCAACTTCATCATAATCCGGACTTAAGGAATTTAGCTACTCATATCAAAACTGGCTGAGAGTAAAACAACAATAATAAAAGAGTTCATCTTGAACATTTAACAATCAACAAAATAACGAGTACTGACAATTCCCAAATAACTAAACCAAAGCAAGTTTGTTATCAAGAAAAGTAACGTACAAATCAAGATCAAAAGAGAATATTGCTGAATCAAACCAGAATTTTTCAAGCACTAACTAATTCCTTCCTCCAGAAAGTTGCAGCCTGAAGTTCAATGGGTCATCTCCCAGGTTGCAGCCCTTCCTCCTCGCAATCCTCCCCTTAAAACCCTTGCTATTGCGGTTTTTATATCCCCGAATTACAGTCAGTTCCAACCCTTAACTCCTGATTTTTCGGTGCCGTTCGAGAGTAGGAACCGCAATTCGTGGAGCCGTTTCGAATTGATGATTCAAAGAACCCCCAAATCTACCTCCTTTCCTTCTGCTCCTTGGACTCTTTTTCTTCATTTTTGTTAGAGCCGTTCTTGGACTTTGCTGGGCTGTTTTCTCTTTTTCCAATTTTCCTTATCAGTCAAAATAAAAGAGTTACTCTCCTTTAATTTTGTTCTCGAGCCTAGTTTACTCTCACAGAAATTATGTGAAGTCTTCCAAATTTGAACTGGCCCAACTGGCCCATTCTTGAATTTGGAAATAACATCTCTTCAATGAGCCCCAATGAGCCCAATTGCTTCATTTAAATTTCTCACCTGTAAAAATCAATTTTAAGATAAAAGTAAGATTAAAACCTCTCAATTAGGCAAATAATAAGTATAGAATTGTGATAAAAATTAATCACAAATTCTAACTTATCATGGGTCCTACCCTATCAAAGGATGCATCTCGATGAATGGAAGATGGTGCTACTTCAACGCTCCAAGACCACCATGATGTTGAAATAAGTGAATTGAAAGCATATCAGGAGTTGATGCTCTGTACCCTACAACATTTTATTCCGGGCTTTCAACTTGCTCCACGCAGCTCCGCAAGTGATGTTCATTCGACATCAAATGCTAACAAAACTGATCAGAGTCACAATGAAGATGATCAAGATTGATAATATGAAGTTGAATATGCTTTTTACTTGATTAAGATGAGCATAGATTTATTTATGTTTAGATGATGTTGTTTGTAATGATTTGATGAAACTTCATTGTAGGTAATTGTATTTTATTAGACAATTAATTTTTGTGTTGTTGACATTAGTGGTGTATGATCTGATTTTGGTAACATTGGTTGTTTATAGAAGTTGTGTATGGATAGCAAATAGAAAATATGAATGAAATAAAAACGGATGTATACTGTTATTTGCGTCAACACGTCGACACAAATAATATGTTTAAAAAACAATGGGAACATGGTTTTGGCGTGGGCTTGTTGACGCAAATGATGTAAATATTTGCGTCGAGGAGTGGACACAAATGAATTATCACTTTTTGTGTCGACATTGTTCATTGTTATTTTTGGAAGATCTTTTGCATCGACAAGTGGACGCAAATAACATTTTATTAATTACGTCGCACGCAGTGGACGCAAACAGTCTATTTGTGTCGCGGTTTTTGCGTCGACTTATAAACGCTAAAAACTTATTTGTGTTTTTGAGCTTTTGCGTCGACTTTTTGTCAACACAAACGGCCCAATTTCTTGTACTGGTTCTTCTTCTTTCTTTTTCTTCTCCTTTCTTCTCCTTTAATTTCCATCTCTTCCTCTTCCTCCTCGGTCTTCTCAACTTCTCCACATCCTTCTTTATTTGTACTCCCTAGTTTTCACCTATAAAACTTTTTGGTATATTTTATTGGTCTTATTCATTTAGTTTTGAGATTCAAAATAAAATTTGATATTTTAACTCTGCAATTTTTCGATTTGAAAAAAGCGGCTCCAACAGCGTAACCAGGATTTTCTGAAAGTTTTGGATCAATTTTTAGTTATCTATTTCAATTTATTTGTTTTGAAAAAATGACCTAATATTTTTCAAAGACTTTTCAATATGGAAATGTTAATTCGAAAAACAATGCCATTTCAAAATGTCAATATCAATCTTTCTAAAATACAGAAACTTTAATGCCATGTTTTTCTTGTGAAAATGACATTTTGGTAAATGTTGTCATTTCATGACACTAAGTAAGTGAAGATGGCAATATTTTCGTATTTTCAGTTTATTTGGAGTTGTCATTATAAAGATGACAATATAACATTAATGCCATTTAGATGGCATTCCAGTGCTAAGATGACACTTTTGTTGAAGTCCCTTCAGGCATGAGGTCCCCACCAATCCTGCCAGAAGGAGGCAACACTGGTGCCTACAGACACCGCAACACAATCGCGGCCTTGTTGGAGAAGGATATTGGGGCAGGAAAAAGTCGTCGGCAGAGAAGATCGGGGGAGGAGGTTGTTGTCGGAGGAGGTCGGTGAAGGTGGTTGTTCCCGGAGGAGATCGAAGGAGGGCGTCGTCACCGGAGACGCCAGAGCTTGATATTGCTGGATGTGGAGTGCACAGGTGTCGTCGCTAGTGGCTGAAAGCCGCGGAGTGCAATGGCGACACCGCCCATTGGCGGCGGTGGTTGTGCTGGAGGGAGGTAACATGTTAATAGATGCAATAGTAGTTGCACTAGGGTTTCAAAAAAATTTATTTATTTTTGGAATTTTAAATATAAATATTAATAAACCTAACATTTCATTAAAGGAATTTGGTCAAGCCATATAATGTTTACTCCTATCGAACATTAAACTTCTATTTGAAAACTTTTCTTATGTTTTACTTCTATTAAGGGAATTAACCCTTTCTTCTTCAGACTGATTAATCATATTGTTTAAGCAATTTTTTGATAAACTAAAACTAATTAAAATGAGAATTGTATATTGATCGGGACTCGTACAAGAACAATAATTAAGAAAAATGACATGTAAGCAAATAAGTATAACTTGGTGTGTATTGGAATAAGAAGCCAAATGATTACAATTGGGTAGGGGCGGGCAAGAATCCCGGTCCCGTTGTCCCATTCCGGTATATCCCGAAACCGTACCGGTGTTGTCCCGTTCCGTTTGGGTCTCATTGATTTTGTCCCGCACCGGTCCCGTACCGGTTTAAAACGGGACGGGACCGGGACATTGGAAGGTTATCCCGAACCGTCCCGTTGTCCCGTTTGTAATAACTATATAGATTTTGTAGCATGTGACTAGTGTGTAATGTCAACTCAAAAAATAAATGGTAACATGTTTTTAGTTCTTCAAGCCCAATTTTTAAATTAAAAATAATACCTAACATGAATATTTACTAACATAGATTTTTATCACACTTTATATATCTACATATGAGTATCTCACAGCTAGAACACATGATTTTGAATAAACTAATTCATTTTTGCTTTTTTTTTTTAAATTTAAATTTCAAATTTTGCTAAACCTAACTAAAATCTAATACGTAGTAGCTTTTAGCTTGTGATGAACATCAATTAACTTTTAAATTATTAATATTTTGGTGCATGATACTTTAGAAATGCTAATATATATTAATTACAAATGATTATTTTTTGTTAGTTTGGGACGTCTCGAACCGTCCTGAACCGTTCCGAACCATCTCGGTCCCGATTTAAATGGGACAAGACTAGGACAAAGGCTTGTCTCGTACCGTCCCGTCCCGTTATTATTAATTGGGACGGGACCGGGATAACCCTAATCCCGAACCGTCCCGACCCATGCCCACCCCTACAATTGGGTTCACTCTTATTTATAGGAGAGATAATTAATACTCTTAGGACTGTTTTGTCCGTTACTGACGGGTTGACCCGACGACTTCGTCCTTTATGACAATTTCACATCTTTCATAAAAGTTGGTCAAATACAATCAATATCTTCCTTAATTACATTAAAGAGTCTAATAATACATAAACATTACAATAATCATCATTGAGTCATCATTGAGCCTTATGGAATATGGAGGATTCTGGAGGATTTTAATGGAGTTTAGAAATCCGTCAAAATTCAGGTGTTCCTGATTTGGATTCTGGAGGATTTTAATGGAGTTTAGAAAGCCGTCAGAATTCAGGTGTCCCCGATTTGGATTTCTGTGGAATCAATGAAAATATGGGTGTTCCCAAACAATCCATGGATTTCTATTAGTACTTATTGGAATGGATATTAATGGATTTTGATGGATTTTTATACACAAAAACATTTAAGCACAAATCTTGTAGAATCCTCCGGATTTCAAAATCCATTGATCTTATAAAACCCATTCCACCACAAATCTTGTAGCATTAGAGTATCTCCAATGCTACAATGTGCACGGTGCACATGTGGTGTGAGAGATAACCAGATAAGTATTAGCAAATAAATTATCTCTCTCCTTATTTGAATGATTTTATACAATTTTGGTAAATTTTTGTCTGCAATGTCAACCACAATGTCAACATCTAGACGATCTTCTTGACATTGTAGAAAAACTTACCAAAATTGTATAAAGCATTCAAATAAGCATCCAAAACTACCTCCGTCCCCCTAATTTTGGGACAAAGGGGTGTTGTGTGATTTTTAAGAAAAAATAGAATTATGTGGTTGATATTGAATTGATAGTGTAAATAAAGTAGAAATGAATTCTAACCACTCAAATATTACCAAATTGGAATAGGATGGATTTCAAATTCGGACCGGCGGACTCGTAGTATGGTACGCGACAAACTTAATGGGACGATGAATGTAAAAGGTAAAACAGAACAAAGTTAGGGGGATGGAGAGAGTAATTTATGTGTCTATCTCTGATGTCACATGTGCACCGTGCACATTGTAGCATTGAAAATACTCTTAGTTGGGGTCTTGGGGACACCCCCTTAAATTCAGCATAAACCGTTAGATTAAAAACATGATATGATTATCCAAAAAAGACAAGCTTTTGATGTTTTAGTACGGTTAATTAATCCCTTATTTTAGGAGCTACCTCAATTCTAATATACCACCCTTCTCGTATACAAGGAATTTATTGATAAGAAGATGTACTCACGGGTTGATAATGTATCTTAACAGAACAAATATACTATAATAACTTAATAAGTAGAAAGGAGGACTTTTCATGTCCATCCGGCCTGACGGGAACCGCTGTCCGGCCGAGGGCATTTCGGGCATTTCCCGGTGGAATTTTTTGATGAACCTTTTTTAGCATGTTCTTCATGAAGTCTAGTTTATTCATACCAAATTTCAGCCAAAAATTCAATCGGTAAGACACTCAAATAATTTCTTGAAGTTAACTGGGCAGTTCATACATATAAACTGCTCAGTTAACTTCACAAAATTATGTGAATGCCTTCCCGATCGAATTTGGAGCTGAAATTTGGTATGGATAAACTAGACTTCATGAAGAACATGCTAAAAAAAATTCATCAAAAAATTCCATCGGGAAGTGCCCGAAATGCCCTCGGCCGGACGGCGGTTCCCGTTAGCCCGGCTGGACAAGAAGACTACTCAAGTAGAAAGATTTGCCAAAAAATAATACCGTAATCTATCTGATCTCCTAGCTAGTTGGGGGCGGAGAGTTCACCTAAGGGAGTGTTTGCAAATGCTTCTGCTTAAAAAAAAGCACTTTTAGAGATGTAAAGAAAAAGTGATTAGTAGGAAAAGTTGATGGTGTTTGAGAAAAAAGTAATTTTGAAAAGTAAAAGTTGATAGTGTTTGGTAAAATAAGTGCTTTTTGTGTAATAGAAAGAAGAAAAGCACTTTTCACACGCAAGCCGAGAAAAAGTAAAAATTGGTAGTGTTTGGTAAATAAGTGCTTTTTTAAGCCAAAAGCTGAGAAGTGCTTTTTTTTAAGTGATTGCAAACACTC